TCCCAAAAAGGACATTTTTTTCCAGTCTAAGACGCAGACACAAGAAGGCTCAGCTTTGTGTTGTTCAACCCCAGCTAAGAAGGGGAGCCTCAGGCAACTCAAATTCTCCATTGCTCTGTGTGTGTCCACATGTGACCACAAAAGGGCCACAAGGATTGATTTGGGGGTAACACATACATTCTAGAGAATGGACAAAGTCACAAATATGAAACCTGCAAATAATAAGCATTGACTCTGTGTGTGCAGGCGTGCTTGTGCATGTGTGTGTGTGTGTGTGTGTGTAAAGTTCCTGCTCAGAAAAATTAAGGACAAACAGGGGAAGGGGAATGCACTGGGAAAATATTTCTAGAGAAGGAGGACAATGAATAGGGGTGAGGGGAGTGAGCTGGGAGCACCGAAGTGTTTGCCATTGGCAGGAGCATGGTAAGGGTGTTTCCTGTTACAAGCAAGCATGTTGCCTGGTGACATCATAGGGCAGGGAAGAGTTCACAAGGCAGCTTTCTCTTTGCCTCAAAGTCAACAAAGAGTAAAGCACTGAATAAAAGGAACCCCTGGAGCCTCATACGAAATCTCCTTTATTCATTTATACATTTGTTTATCCATCCAACACATGTGCTCAAAGAGGGAAAATACGCCATCTGGAAATTCAGGACACTCCACCTACTCCTGGAGAAGGACAAACAAACCGACACTTGTGTGGTATGGTAGGTGCTGTGTTGGGGTTGACAGAGCATTACAAGAGTACTGATTTGAGGATTGGGGCCAGGACTCCAAGAGGAGGAGTCCTGACGTGCTTGATAAACTCTCGAACCGAATTTCCTCTGATCCCAAAAGTATCCTTTGAACCTCTAAGGCAGTGGTATTTAATTTAATACGCACATCAATCCCTGGGAGTATGTTATTAAGATACAGATTCTTTTAAAAAAATCTTATTTATTTATTTCAGAGAGAGAGAGAGAGAGAGAGAGAGAACATCAAGGAGAGCTGTAAGTGGAAGGAGATGGAAAACCAGGATCCCTGCAGAACAGAGAGCCCAATGTGGGGCTCGATCCCAGGACCCTGGGATCATGACCTGAGCCAAAGGTAGATGCTTAACCTACTGAGCCACCCAGGAGCCCTAAGGTGTGGATTCTGATCCAGCAGGCCAGGGACAGAGCCGGAGATCTGCATTTCTGGTGAGGCTTTTAGGAGACACTAACGCTGCTGGTCCTGGAACCACACTTGGTATGCGACAGAGGGACAGTCATGTGACCAGAAGTCCCATCTAGCATGGCCTGATAGTCCGTCCTGTTCAGGCCAGTCCCTTCTGTGGGCACAAGCAGATAAACAGCACATCTGTGTGGCAGGTTCTCAGTTGGGCTAAGGGTTTGGGGAGGAGGTGGGGAGGGGCAGAGAAGGAGCTCGGGCAGGAGAGGAGGGTCGCTCACACTATTTTCCTAAATTGGAAGAACTTGGTCTTGTGTTCCTCTCTTTCATCCCTGGCCTCCCGGCTGCCCAAACCTTTTCATGGCACGAATAGACTAGAAATGTGCATATTAAGAATAAAATTCTTGCACAGATAAGAACTGATTTACAGAAAAATGGAGAAACAGGTCAGGGTTGCCTTGACCATTTTGTGAGCTAAACATGAAGAAAAAAAAGGGAGCTAAAATAGATTCTTCCACTTTCTTACCCATTGGAAGAAGAACATGAAGGGCATCGCATACACCTCTGTTCTGTTAGGGCAGGAGGTTCTACTAGAGTCCCCCCCAGACTGGAGGGTGGGGAGGCAGAGTCCTGGGAAGGGAAAGGAGAACTCTCTCCAGGAAAGATGGGGGCTGGGTGGGGGTTTAGGCTTAAGGAATCACAGGAGAGAGCTAAGATCTTGCGCAAGCTGCTTTCAGGGGCATGATTTCACATTGGAGTGTGAAGGTGACCCTGCAGAGCTGGGCAGGATGGAAACAGGGTCCTGTGGTAATGCACCTATGGCAATTTCCTGAATTTCCTAAATACATCTCAAAAACAGGTGACCATTATTAATATTGCAAACTCTCTTTAGAGGTCAATTTTGCCACAATCTGCTCATTTCCCATGTCTTGGTTGCTTCTCATTTCCCAGATCTTCCTAAAAACTCTCACTTACAAAACAAGGAAAAATACATATTAAAATGATCAAAACAGGGACGCCTGGGTGGTTCCGTGGTTGAGCATCTGACTTTGGCTCAGGGTATGATCCTGGGACCCTGGGATCCAGTCCTGTATCGGGCTCCCCACAGGGCACCTGCTTCTCCCTTTGCCTGTGTCTCTGCCTCTCTCTCTGTCTCTCATAAATAAATAAATAAATAAATAAAATCTTTAAAAAAATCAAAATAGACAAATTAAAAACCAGTAGAAATAATACTGGCAAATGCATAACAGATGATCTCTATGCTAAGCACTTCACAGACATTACCTCATCTCGAATTCTTTCAACAACCCCATGAGGCACAGGTATCTCAATCCAGCCCCCCAACCAAAAGGATTGAGGCTTGAAGGGCAGGTACTTAGTAACTTTGCCAGGTGAGCAGTAGAGCTGGAATACCTCCTGTTCAAATGGCTCTGTAAACACATGTGCTATTTCTTTTATAAAACTTTACATAAGTCTTCTTTTCATCCTCAATAAAGTCTCCTTTTTGTATATAAGCTCTGATACTATTCTTATTTTATAGAAGCAATGGAAAGCTTCATTTTTTAGACTTTCCCAATCTACCACTGGATATCAAGAACACTTCTGCCGTTTGCAAATTGCTAATTTGGTAAACTCCATATTTGTGGGTGTCAGTGGGATCTTAGAAAAATAACAGCTACTGTATAACTGTCTTTTGATTATCCTATTAACCAGTTTGAGGCATTCATTTGTAGTTGTCTGTGACTATCTCCTTGAACACATTGGCAGAAACTCTCTGGGCTCCTAGTAACCGATCATGGAAGATGATGATATTGACATTGTTTTATTAAGATAAACAAATTATCCTCCTTTATCCATAAGGAGGTTCATTCGATTGTGCATTCTAGGACTAAATCAATTCTATTGCATCATGTCTGTCACCCTAGATTTGGTAACACCTAGAATATTTTTAAGCCTTAAAAATGTATGCAAATGTCAACCATGTCATGGATTCTTAGGCACCATGAAATTCAGACTTTGGCATGTAGAAGATATTGGATTACATGGTTTCACATGTTTTCATTTTATTTTGTTTTCCTTTGGCTTCCTGGGGCCATACCAGGACACCCCCATATATAGCATTGTTTTCTGTTACTGGAGCCAAATTTAATTGTTAGATCATTTTGATACAGAACGGAGCTATGCAGCAAGTCTATACTCAAGTCATCAGCTACCTCCCCACACTTCTTAAATCTTCAGTTTTTTCTTCTCTAGAAGCCCTTTCACCTCTATATCTAAACATGATAAAGGTTCCCTTTCCCTAAAAAAAAAAATAAAGAAGACTTTCTCAATGCCATATGTCTCTCTATTCCTCTTTTGTCTTCCTTTTTCCAATTGGCCAAACATCTTGACAGAGCAGCCTATGTTCTATTTCCCTCTTCTCTTTTATTGCTCAACCTACTGTTCTCTGGCATCCACCTTCCACTAAACTGCAAAACTCAAGGAAACCACCATCCTCCCTACATCCACGCCATTGCTGAATCCAAAGGAGGCTTTCACTCCTTTTTTTAATGGTCCTCTAGGCTGCATTTGACTTTGCTGCCTGGCTTTTCCTAGTTGATTTCATGAGTTCTTCTTACCCTACTCCCCCCTATTTAAAAATTTCAGCTTTATTGAGTTACAGTTGACAAAATTATAAGATCTTTAAAGTGTGCGTTGTGGTGATTTGATACATGCCTATGTTGTGAAAAGACTGTCTCCATCCTTTAGACTTTTTTTGTTAAAACCTCGTGTTCTCCCAGCTTTGAACCTGCTTTCATTGCTCTTCTCTCTACACACTCTACTTGGGCAGAGCTTTTTCACTGTTATACATTACTTGACCTTCTCATATCTACCATAAACTTCCCCAGAGACATGGACTTACACATCCAACTGATTCACAGATATCTCCACTTTGAATCCCATAAGCTCTCAAACTACCAATGTTCAAAATTAAACTTAGATCATCCTCACCTAAATCTGTCCTCTTCATATGTGTCTATCTCTGGTTAATTGCTCACACACCAAACCCAAAAATCTGAGAATCACCTTAGGCCTCTTTTTAATCTGTGAATCCATTTCCTTCCATTCCTTCCTTTCTCTCTATCTTTACTTACTCCTTATGTTAGGCCCCCCACATCTTCTTCCTGGAGTATTGTTAAGAGTTTCCTAACTTACCTGCCTCTGGTTGTGATAGCTCATATCCATTCTCTGAATAACTACCAGTGTTCTCTCCATGACCTGAATCTGACCATGTCCCTCACGTTTAAAATTCTTCAATGGGTCCCTCATTTATGAATTCAAGATTAAAGACCCAGTTGTTTAAGGTCCTCTGAGACCCGTCCTCTTCTAACTTCTCTAGTTTTAACACTGAGATCCCAGCCCAAAAGAAATCATCTTTCAACCCTTCCTCACCCTCCGGAAGGGTTCCAAAGCTGAGCTCGATGTCCCAGCTCTGCATTCCAATCTTGCAGCCAACACATACTCAAACCACAGAATTCAATACAGTATATTGAAATGACCTTCCAAGTTTCTAAAATGAGAGTATTGGCTTATTCTGTCTTTGCTCTCCAGGGCCTGGAAATGTACATAATAAACGGTAAAGGAAAAACTTGTTGAATTGGCACAATTTAGGTCACGTGTGCTGGACACAACTCTAAAGATGTAAAGCTTACAGTGAATTTGACATTATTTCTTTCGTATTCACTTTTGAAATGTTTGGAGGAACATTTTCATCATAGTAGTCGTATTCTGACAAGAAAAAGAAAATAAATCATCGTGCCTCCCCGTCGGGGAATCGAACCCCGGTCTCCCGCGTGACAGGCGGGGATACTCACCACTATACTAACGAGGAACTGCACGTAAGCAGCCCTTCTGACAAGCCTCTTATTGCTTTGCAGTCTTCGCGGCCTTCCGCCTTCGCTACCGCCTCCCACCAGCAGAGTGGGTCTGACATTCTGCCGTTGCCATTGCGACGTCCATGAAGTTGAACAAAACGAAAATAGCGTTCAAATGATCTCCCCGTTGCTCCGCTGATCATTTCCGTCTGCCCACCCCTCCTCCGGCTGCCCCCGCTCCCCTCTCTTCCTCCTCCTCCCCTCTCAGGAATGCTACCAGTCCTCGCAGCACCCCTCCGCACACACACTCCCAGGGAGCAAAGCGCACGCCTTGTCGCGCTGCACCACGGGAATTGTAGTTCCAGCCACGCTACGCCCCACTCTTCCCTCACCTTAAGAAACTTCCCTTCCCGGCGGGCGCCACGAGTTCCGCTTGCTCTTTATTGCCTCCCTCTCTCCCCTGCCTCTAGCTCTCGGTGTAGTGGGCTGGCAGCCGGCTCTTGGGGTGCGGATCGGCGTGCGGAGGGACTCCCGAGAGCCATGCCCGAGGTAGTGGATTCGTGCTCTTTGGCCTCTCCGGCTTCGGTCTGCCGGACCAAGCACCTGCACCTGCGCTGCAGCGTCGACTTTCCCCGCCGGGTGCTGACCGGCACCGCCGCGCTCACGGTGCAGTCTCAGGAGGACAATCTGCGCAGCCTGGTACGGTGGGACGCGCGCCCAGTGCCCGCCTCGCCCCGGCCGCCCGCTTCTTGCCCCTCATCCCGCCGCCGCCCCTTCCCAGGCCCACGCTCAGGTCTGCCCGGCGCCTCCCTCGGTGCTCCTGCGCAGCCCACAACTCCTGTTCGCACCTCCCTTCAGCTCTCCCTCGCTTCTCAGCCGCCCCTTCCTCGCCCGCACTCAGCCTATAGCGCCCCTCCGCATCGCGCTCGTGTCCGCATCCCTCAGTCGCCCGCTACCTGTGCCTCAGTGGCTCCGCCTGCACCCCTCTCCCCGACACCCCTCCCAGGCCCTCGGCACATCCTAGCGCCGCATCCACGTCCTGCTCGCACCCAGAGCGCGGGCTTCATTGTAGCACCAATCCTCCCTCCCCCGCTATCCGAGTTCCCAGCGCGAAGCCCCCCGTGGCCTCCCCATTTCCTCGGCCTGCAGCCCAGAACTCCCTCCTCGGGCTCCGAATTTATTCCCCCAGTCCCCGCGCAGCTTCCCAGGCCACAGTCTCCTCTGAGTCTCGGACCCTGTGCCCTGCCGATGCTCACCGGACCCTTTCCTCCACCTGCACTTCTGCAGGATAGGACCCATCGACCCGTCGTGGTAGGCTGCCCCCAGCCTCCCTACCGCCATTCTCGAACCCCTTAGAATTTACGGCTCCAGACCCCCCCCACCTCCACCCCGATTTGATACTTCCAGGCTCTGCTAGCAACATGCAGCTCTTCTCCAGGGTCCTAGTCCTGCTACCTTTGGTTCTTACCACCCGTCTCCTCAAATAATTTAGTGATGGATGGGCCATTCACGCTTTCTGAGCGTATCTCAATACAGTGTATTACAGTTGGTTTCAAGGAGGGAGTAATTATTGCGCTTCTTAGGAAGTAATATACCTCTACCACATCGCTAGCCACTTCAGTGATGAAAAACTTGTTTAGATTTGTGGAATGTTATTAAATTATTTTATCTATACAACATAACCTGTTTTCAGTGTTCTTACTCAAAGTGATAGTATTTGGATTGTATCTTTCCCCTGAAGAATTTCACAGGTGAGCATTTTAGAAATAAGAGGGACAGGGAAAGACCAGCCACGGTGTATTTTGCAGAGTGTTGTGGTATCTGCTTCAGCACGACATTAAGGAACTTGATCACTGAATGTTGTAGGCTTGATGGTGGGAAATCAGTGGGGTCAGTTAATTGGACATAATAAGAAGTTTAGATAAGAATTGGTGGTTCTCATGACTCTTTTCCTACTTGTGTCATAGGCCTGTATTTTGAGTTCATCAATATGAACTAATATAGCAGGTAACCTACCCTTTGTCCTTTAACATCTCTGATTCTGATTTGAAAAGTAGGCGGACTCCCCTATGTATTGATATTTAGGCACCAAAAGTACTACAGGAAGAAAATAAGGTATTACAAGCAAGAAGGTTAACTATTTCCCTGTAGATTGTACTTTGGTCTGCTTGAAGTACTGTGCTATCTTACTGCAGGCAGCTTTGCCTGCACAGGATTGGCTGAAGTCCCATTTCAATGCAATCTCCCTTTTTATTAAAAGAAAGTAAATTTTGATAGTTTATCACTACTTAGTATGACCTTGCACCCTCACTTGTTTTGTAAAAATAAAGGTTGAACTCTGATCTTTGAAGTAGCAAGAGACAGGATGCTTAAATTCTGAAAAGCCTGTACCTTCAGTGTCCCAGTCTCAAAACTTGCACATTGTTTTTGCATCACCCAAATCTTGAGAGAAGATTTTTAAATCCTGATGTCTGGTTAGCATGTCTACTTAGCAAATTTAGGCCTAAACTGATAATAATGTTAGATTTTATACAAGGAAGGCTAGTTGTGGTACAGTGACATCTGTGTATAATTGTTTGCTTATTCATGGTGGCAACTTGAAGCCAAGAGTTTGGCTTTATTTCTTGAAACCCAACTTCTTTCCTCCACCAGATTACAGTCTCTTGAAGGTAGGGCTATGTTCCATGGCTCTTTGTATCAGGCTCCTAGTATAGCACCTGCCACGCAGAAGACCCTCAAAAGTTTGATGAAGTAGTGGATGAATTCAATTAAGAGTGCAGTGCCTGAGCCTTAGGCAGGCTCTGCTAATAATAGTGCCAACTGTATCTTGAGGGTGAGTGGACATCCTACCTCCCCACCACCAATAGAGAGGACCCCAAGCCCATGCTGGTGAGGACACTGAGTGTCCTTGCTCGCTCTCTTCCTGGAGTCCTGGTGCTCGGGAATGTTGAAAGAGCTGTACCAGTAGGTTTTACTAGGAGTAAAGCCCCGCTTTTCTAAAAATCTTTTTGAAGTTTTGGGTTATTTGGCCTCAAGCTTGGCATTCATTTGTGACAGTGTCCAAGCATTTGTTCCTTTTGTTGAAATTTTCAACCTTTTTTAGGTGTTCTATCAGCTGGTGGCTCAAAGAGGTTCTAATGTCTTGGCCAAGATCATATACTAGTGAGTGGCAGAGTCAGGGAGTGAACACAGATCTTTCTGACTACCACACTCTCCAGTCTTCACTAAGTAAATGGCTGAGCCAGGAATCAAATCAAGGTGTTTTGGTTTGGGTTTTAACAATAACCCAATTTTTTTTTTCATTGCAGCACCCTGCAAGTAACAGGTAGAAAATGCAGATAGAGATATAATACTGAGGCAGAAAGCTTTTTAATTTAAGCTATTACTTTGTCACAGAAAGAATTTGAGTCTGCTTAAAACAACATATGCTGTATAAGAAGCTTAAAAATAATTTAAGAATTTGGAGGAAGAGGGAAGGAGGATAGTGAAAACCAAACCCATGACATCAGGCCCTAGGAAGGAAGAAGTGGGTTGTGAGGTTTACATCGAGCTTGCCACCAGCCTGTGCAAAAAGGGAATTAGTTATATATCCCATGGCAATCAGCCAGGTGCTTTGAAATAGAACTGCTTTTGGGGGTGTTATTCAAAGAGGATACCACAAGATATAGTAAATTATATCCCTAATAACTTCATACTATTTGTAGGTCTGTTTGCTACAACTATGTATGGTATCTTGGCCTTATGCATAGTTGGTGTTCCACAATATTTGGTTGAAAAGTACTAGTTCCAACTTTTCAATGATGCAGTTTCCTTTTTTCCATTACTATTTTTGATCAATTGTTTAATAGCATTTATTAGTGAAATTTGAAGGGGAATTTCTTAAGTAACTTGAGAATGATAGCCGATGTTAAGACTTAGAATATACAACTTAACCACTGCATTTTCTCCTTTCTCTTGGTTCAGTAGTCAGATGCGTTATCCATTGCGCCACTGGCCCACACCTTTTCTCTTGGTTCAGAACTCGCTTCATGCATTAAGTGATACCTACGATTTTTTTAGGCACTGTGCTAAACTCTGGGAATGCAAGCCTAGGTAACATTCTCTGTCTTCTTAAGAACCCTCATTCTAGTAGAGAACACTTATAATTCTAATGTGGTACAGTAAATGGCTATAGGAGAGATCTGGACTGACTACTGTAATAAGTACAGAGGATATGAAAAAGATTTCAAAAAATAGTCACAACAATAATCTGGCGCTTCTGATTCTGAATAGGTTTGAAAAGTTGAGGCAATTAGATAATAGGATGTGCTCCTCTGGGAAATGAGCCAGTTGATTCATTCTTATGGCTATAAAAGTAGTATAAATATGAGTAGTTACATACATGGATATTCAAATTAAGTTTTAAAATAAGTCAGAGAGCCATAAATAGGAATATGAAGGAACAAAGGAGTAACCCTATTATTTGTAGTAAGATATAAGCCTAATAAAGCCACATAATCTGAATATGCAAGTGCAAGAAGATAAGTCAGTTCTACTAATTTAGAGTAGCAATGGTTGAGGTACGCTGGAAAGAAAGTAACCCAAAAGGAATAATTACCTATTTGGAGGGAAACAGGCGGCACCCCTAACAAACTTACCTGCTTTAAAACACACACACAGGGATCCCTGGGTGGCGCAGCGGTTTGGCGCCTGCCTTTGGCCCAGGGTGCGATCCTGGAGACCCGGGATCGAATCCCACGTCGGGCTCCCGGTGCATGGAGCCTGCTTCTCTCTCTCTCTCTGACTATCATAAATAAATAAAAAAAATTAAAAATAAAAAAATAAAACACACACACACACCAGAATGGAAATTTCTTTCCAACCAAATATTGTTTACTCTAGAGAAGTAGGAATCAACTTAATGATTACGGTTATGACTGGCCTTCTAACTCTCCCATGCTATGGCCGGCCAGATTTCAATAGAAAGATGCCAGAGGTTGGGAGATCAGATTGTAGGCAGTACTGAGGCAGGGTCTGACCTAGAGTGGTGGTAAAAGAAAAGAAAGTATGAAGACAGTGTGAAAGAAAAATGTGTTAACTGGCTATGGGGGCTTGGCAAGTGGGATCAATTGCAGATATTTCTTTTTAAAAAGATTTTATTTATTCATTCATTCATGAAAGACACAGAGGCAGAAACAT